TTCGTCATTTTTTAGGTGGGTTCAGTCAGATACACGTGAAAAGATTTTATTAGAGTCCGAATGCATAGCTTCGTTTGGACTCCGTATGTAAGATTTTTTCCTTACCTATGCATGAAAATGCGTATTTCACTTTCTAAAAGTTCAAATGGTGGTAATCTTTTTGTGTCATGAAAGATTTGGTTGGTATAAATATAAAAAAGAAAAGTTTAGGTAGTATATAAGTAAATACATAGAAAATGGAATGTCGAACTCACCATATTACCTGGATGACCCCAATGAACAAGCCATTCTGGTAAATTCCATGTCTTCACAACCTCAACAAAGGGTCCAAACACAGACCTTACAACTTCACCTGCCATATAACCATCATTAGTATTGCACAGTTACTAATGAGAGATAACCAAACAACTAGAAGAGTGAGCCAATCTGAACTTCTCTGGAATAGAAAAAAGCTTAGAAGGGGTTATAATTATGCTTTATACTTGTAAACATGTAAAATTACGAAGAGAATATTGTATCTGGAGTTTGGTGAAAACTTACCACGTGGCAAGTGGGTTTCACTGTAACACAATGGTTATGGGTGATTTTTAGAAAAAGATGTGGGGCCCACTTGCCGCGTGGCAAGTTCTCACCAGGAAGGCAAATTTGCGTCCGGAGTCCGGATAAAATTTCGAGAGACCTACGTGCCACAAGACTCCTATTTTTTTACATATCGAACATCTAAACTTTAATATCTACTTGTATGGCATATCAACATATCACCATGCCAACATTATATACTGAAAGACATACACCTTTTCATGCATATATTTGGATGTTATTATGACACCAAAGTGTTAAATATGTAAATGCATAACATTTGTGTGATATGTATGTAAAGTCCCCTAAAATTGAAGTTGACTTTGTAGCCTTCAAGATATAAACTCATTTTTTTCTAGTGTTTTTACATAACAATCACCCAGAATATTGAATATAACATCTAAACCGGGCCCAAACTTTCTATATAACATTCTAACAACTTTTTGCATTACGGCTGCCCCTCTTTACCAACTGCTGCTGAAGATTTTTGAGTGAAAGTATTGGGAGGTTAAAATGCTAATATTTAAAGTTTGGGTGATTTAATATGTTATATGTAATGTTTTGGGTGCTAGATTTGTAAATAAAAATAGTAAAGGAGTGATAGATTTGTAAAAAGCAATATTTCAAGTGCTATGTAAAAGGGTGCTAGATTTGTGAATAACAATATTGCAAGTGCTATGAATGAAGTTGAAGAAAGCATTTAGGGACTCACTTCCAGGAAGCGCTGCGAAGAACAGAAGAGCATTAGGGTTAATGGAATGCAGGATTATCTCTCCTCCCCTTGTTTTCTCCCCCTTTCTCTTCAACATTCTCTCTCTTCCGACTTCTGCATCTGAAGAGCAATCCTCTTTCCCACTGGAAACTGAAGGAGATAAAGCAGGAGGAGGTGGAGAAGAATCAGAATGAATCCTGCAGGGAGGTAGAAAAGGAAGCGAAAATGGCGTCGTTAAGAGCGGAACTGCTGGTCTTCGGCAACATGGTGGCTTGTAAGCAAGAGAAGCTGAATAGCCGGATCTGGTTAGTGCGTCCATCTCTCTCTCTCTCTCTGTGAAAAGATTGAGAGCTGTAGAAGCAAGGAAGAAAGGAAGATGAGCGGAGCGTGGAGGAAGAGGAACCAAGTGAAACTGAGAGGAGTGTGTCCGGCTTGCGCCCCGGTAAAGCGAAAACTTTTATTTATATATATAAATTTACTATTTACATAAATACCACTC